TACCACGTTCTTTACAGGTATGAAAAGTGAAGGCAGATCTCAAGTCATCATAGTTCAGTCTAGACTTTGGTTGAACAACAGGCAGCGTACTTACCGCGTTCCTTACAGGTATGAAAAGTGAAGGCAGATCTCAAGTCATCACAGTTCAGTCTAGACTTTGGTTGAACAACAGGCAGCGTACTTACCGCGTTCTTTACAGGTATGAAAAGTAAAGGGAGATCCTAAGTCATCATAATTCATGTATTAACATCTGGTTTGATAAAAATGTTAGCCAATCAGAATCGAGAAAAATTGCAAAACTGAGGTGTGTCTTTTTCCTCTTGAAAGTTTGGATTTGCAAGCTGCCAAATAAAATAATAACGTTGCTAATAAGTGCTTCATAACACTGATGGCACAATGATGAATGAGTATTATACTTTTATTTATATGGCGGGCATGTTTTTATTTTTCGCTGATCAATTTTCACAGGTTTCATGCAAGACACCTCAGATTTACAGTGACGTCATTTCTACGTCACTATTTCAGATCAACTGATAGGTTTTGTACATTTATATGCATAACTTTATCCTTGACAATTATCTAAGTTCCTAAGCTATCATGGAAGTGCGCCCTAACGAAAAGTACTAGAATAACAACGAACACAAAAAGAACGATTAATGATAAACTCTAAATGAAGAAATGAAGATTTACCAAATATACTTAGATGATAATAGCTAATTTAAAGGCTAAGCGTATTGAAAAAAGGAGTGCGATCTATTCATTGATTATATGTTAAGTAATTCTACATTGAGCATTACATTACGAGCAACAGTCGCTCAAGTGTTGCATATAATGCGGTAAGACCTGTCTAACTTAACGTGTTTGTAGTGCCAATATAAAACTGCCGTAGCAAACTGATTCATAAGCTGTTCTTTTATCAAACGGCTTGATTCATCAATTGAGTTTGACTGCTTACGAGTAGAGCGCCGTCTGCAACGGGYCTATTTTCTGTAAATGTTGCATTTTCATCGTATTTAATTTTTTTAGCATAACTTTAGGAATAACTAAGATTTTTTTAAAGAAATTTTCAGAGAGAATGCAGGTTTAGCAATCTAAACTTTATCTTTGAGAAGTTTGTCATCAAATTCATCTGAAATATGTTTATGGCAGTATCATTCAAATTTTCTTCGTCACGTGACACTCAATTAGCATAAATCAGCATTAATATTAATGATAAAATATTGAAATCTCCAAATTTTGTGCACCCATTTTGTAACCCATTTAATAAGTTTTTCAATGATGTATAATGAAGTGAGAATGAATAAATATTTTTATCAAAAGGACACCAAAGGGTTAAAACAGAGTACAAAATATTCGACACACTMCCTGTGGAGTAAATAGTTTGTCAGATTTTAGTTTTTGGTTGACGTCACGTCAAAGTCAAGAATAGTTTATTTCATCCAATATTTAAGGAATATAAAACGCGCGCGTGACTCTATACTGTTATATAAACACGCTGGGAGCTGTAGAGCACGAGAGAAGCAAGCTTAGGAACGACGAGGCGTAGCTAAGTGTTTTTCATGCTTCTCGAGTGGTCTACAGCTGCCAGCGTGTTTGTATCACAGTACAGATACATAAGCAGCCGTTTTACATTGCTGTTATGAAGCGAGCGTGTCTCTGTCCTCTGTTATAAACACGGTAGCCAGCCAATCAGCGCGCGCGTTATAAGGCATTATAGAGCTGTTAACTGTGACGTGATTCGAAAGAAAAACGACTTCCGGGTCCAAATTAGTCATAACTTCTACGGATATTTTTCTGTGTTTTTTCTTCATAGCAGGATTTTCTGTTCATATATCTAATTGTTGATGGTAGAGAATAAATCCTGGGAATAAGTTGTGGCAAGATTTTAGCGATCTCTTGCGTGATTGGACCCGAAAATACGTCACAACGTAACAACACTATTCAAAACTGAACTACTCAAGACATGTAGGCTGTTGATTGAAACCCGATAAAACGAGAAATATGGAGTGTTACTAAACACCGAAACACCGAAACAATCAAAATACAAATTACACCATACATAATATCAGTATTTATTTTCATCCATTTCGAATTCAAACTGAGCAATAACTGGCTTCTTTTTTTAGAATTTTAGAATATTTTGAACATCATGTCTGTAACCGATCTGTTATCACTTACTAATGGCACGGCTCGGGACAACCACGGACCAACAAAGAACCATGATGTTGCTGTATATACAGTTCAATAATTTTGTCCGGTCGATAGAAATTTTGTTCAGAATGGGAATCAACCCAGCTATGCTTAATGAAATAGGTTTGATATTCGACGGATTTTTTAGTGAAAATTCAAAGTTGCAAAACGACTCAGTCAGTTGCATTACATTGTCTGTTACCGCAAACTCGCGTATCTTAACACTCACTCTTATGAACAGCAGTCAGCAGTGTTACAATTTGCTCGACTTGTTACGTACATTATGGAGAAAACCTATGCCTAAGTTCTTAGCGGCCGACGTAAGTAAAGAAACAATTGTATTGCACTTGATTTTCTAAAAAAATGGTGCTATTTGCTTATTATGTGCCTTTATTCTTTTGAACTCAAAAGTTCTGCATCAAGTTTCAATAGAGTGCAAACAATTAATCCGTGAAACACTAATTACTAAATAGTACAAAACAGTGCTAATTAAACAATAGAAAACAATGGAATTTGCATGGAATTGTGCTATTTAGTATTACTAAAGTTTCACGGATTTATTGTGGTCACTCCTCTATGGACAGGGAATCACAAAGCTAAATAAACAATGTAGCTAAACCAGTCAGGACAAGGCACCATGTTGGGTTCTCAGGCAGTCTTTATTAATAATAATTCAAAACTATATATATATATACGTGATACTTGTTACAATTGTCCACATCTACACTAGTTACTTTCTTAACAAAACAATAATTGACAACACT